GGGGACCGGGCGGAGGGGGACCGGGCGGGAGGGGGAGGTCTGTGAGCTGATGGTGACTACAGTAAGGACTCGAGTTTTTTCCCGGAATCAAATGAGAAGCCATTTTTCAGTTTGAGCAGAGGAGGGTTTGTGTGACTTATATTTTAAAAGGATTGTTCTGGCTGTTGTGTGGATTCCTTGGTATCTGCTGAATAGAAACGACAGCTCTGCAAATTTGCAGAGTTTAAAAAGAAAAAAAATGGACCTCTTTCCCTACCCCTCTTGGAACTGCTGTTGTCGAGACGCTGACCTCTATGTACAGTATACATTGAATGCTATACGTTTCCCCCTAAGCACTGCTTTTGCTTTGTGGTCGTCTTTAGGTGCCCCCGAGTCGGTTCCGACTCATCGCAACCCCGTGTACAACAGAAGGAAACACTGCCCAGCCCTGCGCCATCCTCATAATCGTTATGCTTGAGCCCATTGTTGCAGCCACTGTGTCAGGCCATCTCGTTGAGGGACTTCCTCTCTTTCGCTGACCCTCTACTTTACCAAGCATGATGTCCTTCCCCAGGGACTGGTCCCTCCTGATAACGTGTCCAGAGTGTATGAGATGTAGTCTCGCCATCCTTGCTTCTAAGGAGCTTCCTGGTTGCTTTTGCTGCATCTCACAAATTCTGATGTTTCATTTTAATTTTTGTTTAGTTCAAAATATTTTTTAAATTCTTTTGAGACTTTTTCTCTGACCCATGTGTTAGAAGTATGATGTTTAATTTTCAAATATTTGGGGATTTTCCAGCTATTTTTCTGTTATTAATTTTTAGTTTAATTCCGTTGTGATCTGAGAGCATACTTTATATGACTTTTATTTTATTTTTTTAATTTGTTAAGGCATTTTGTACGGCCAACATATTTTCTATCTTGATGAATGTTCCAGCTGAGCTTGAGAAGAATGTGTGTTCTGCTGTTGTTACATGGAGGACTCTATACACACTAATCATATCAAGTTGATTGATAGTTCTGTTCGGGTCGGAGCCCTGGTGGCAGGCACAGTGCTTAAGAGCTCAGCTGCTAATCAAAAGGCTGACAGTTTGAATCCACCAGCCGCCGGCTCCTCGGAAACCGTATAGGGCAGCTCTGCTCTGTCCTGTAGGGTCACTGTGAGCCAGAATCGACTTGACAGCAGCGGGTTTTTTGGTGACTGTTCAGGTCATCTCTGTCCTTACTGATTTTCTGCCTGCTGGATCTGCCAGTCACCGATAGGTGTGTTGACGTCTCCTGCTGTAATTGGGGATTTGTCTCCTCCTGTCAGTTCTCTGTTTCTGCCTTACGTATTTTGTTAGGTGTGTACGTGTTAAAGGTTGTTATTTCTTCTTGAAGAATTGCTCCCTTTATCATTAGTAATGCCCCTCTTTATCCCTGATAATTTTGCTTGTTCTGAAGTCTGCCTTGTCTGAAATTAATACAGCTACTCCAGCTTTTGATTAGTGTAGGCCTGGTGTGTCTTTCTCCATCCCTTTACTGTTAACCTGTCTGCATCTTTATATTTAAAGTGGGTTTCTTGTAGACCACTTACAGTTGGGTCTCACTTTTTTATCCACCCTGACAATCTCTGCCTTTTAACTGCTGTATTACGCCGTTCATGTTTAGGGTCATTTTTGATACGTTTGGATTGATTTTTTACTACGTTCGTGACTCTTGTTATTGGTTACATTTGTTCTTTGTTTTCTTTTTTCCTTTTTTTATGCCTTCTCTGGTTTTAATTTAGCATTTTATATGATTCGATTTATCTTCTTTCTTAGTATGTTAATTATACGTCCTTTTGAAAATATTTTGAGTAGTTGCCATAGAGTTCCCAACATGCATTTTCAGGTAAGCTAAGTTCACCTTCAGATAATACTCCAGCCACTTCCTGTGGAGTGGAGGTGCCTTAGAGTGTTCCCAGTGCCTCCCCCCTGCCCCTGACATTGCCGTCCCTCATTCACTCTATGCTGTAATCACCCAATTATTTGTTACCGTTACTGCAAGAGAAGTAACTTATCGTCAGTTTTTTCTGCTTTTTTTATCGCGAGGATGGGAATGACGGCTTCCCACCTCTTTACTTGTTGGAGCTGAAACTGAAAGTCCTCTCTTTATTTCTGCAAAACTCTGCTGGTAATTTTTTTTTGTTTTTGACTGGTTGCTCTAGGGGTATCGCAAGGTCCCTGGGTGGTACAAACAGTTTGCACTCAGCTGTTAATCTAAAAGTTGGTGGTTTGAACCCATCCAGTGTCACTGCGTAAGAGAGGCCTGGCTATCTACTACTGTAAAGATTGCAGCCAAGCAAACCTTACGGAGCAGTTCTACTCTGTAATACACGGGGTCACCATGAGTTGGAATTGGAATTGACTTGATGGCAGTGGGTTTGGTTTTGGGTTTTTAGGGGTGTAACATGCTAGCTCCCTGCACCCTCCCTGGAGCCTGGTCACAGCCAGTTCTGCCCTCCTGCCATTTGCTCAGAGGAAGGATCCCGCTGGATCGTTGGCTCCTTTTCAACCCTGCTCCCGATTTGAGCCCTCCTTTTCCCTCTTGACAGCCTTCCCTTCCCCTGAGTCAGACCTCAGAGGTCAGCGTGTTCATCTGCAGCGGCTTTTCTGCTTCTTGCCTGACTTCTACTCTTCGTGGCCGTGCAGCCCCACACCTGCTCTCCAGACCTTCACTCGGTCATTTCTCTGTCCACCGCCTCGTGCATGCTTCCACCCGATACGTCGTCACAACAGTGTCACAGCGACCTGTTCTCCCTGTTCTCAGAACCCTTCAGTGCTTACCTTTGTTTGGTTGTCAGTCCAGATTTCATTTCCTAGAATTACTTCAGTGTCCCGGTCATCTGCCCCAGTGCTGCCTCTTCCAGCCAGGACACCGGCCTCCTGAATCCTCGCTCCCCCCACGCCCATCAGTTACCCGAAAGCCCTAGTGTTCTTCAGAGCCTGGCTGCGGCCGGTCACCTCCTTTTTTCCTCCCCTTGAAACCTTCTCGTAATTCTTCAGTTGATGATGATTTTGTACGGGTTTGTATGTGACTCTTGGTGGTTAGTATCAGCTCCGTCTGGGCAGAGGACCTGAGATACTCCGTGAGAAAAGGTCACCACTGGGATGACTCTCTGACCCTGCACTGTGACAACTCAGTGCTGGCTTCCAAACGTCATACCAGTCGTGTGGAGCTTGATTCCAGAGCACGTCCAAAGCTGATGTCTCAGTAAATCATGACTTTGGTAGTTAGTGGAGCCCTGGTAGCCCAGTGGTTAAGAGCTCGGCTGCTAACCAAAAGGTCAGCGGTTCATATCCACTAGCCGCTCCTTGGAAATCCTGCGGGGCAATTCTACTCTGTCCTGCAGGATCACTATGAGTCGGAATCGACTTGATGGCAACGTGTTTGTTGGTTTTGGTATTTAGTCACGTGGCTATGAGAGCATGAGGGAGGGATCCTGTCGTCCCCCAGAGGTGCAGATTACAGCGTCTGGCTAATTTGTTTTAATTGAGTTTCTTGTCAGTGCTCGTCTCTTCCTTCTCCCAGTCGCCTGCTGCTCTCTCCCTGAAGGATATTTCCTAACAGCACCAATCCCAATTGCGTTGATTTGCATTTGAGTGCCGTTTCTGAATTTGGGAGACTCAGGTGAGAATTGTGGCCAGTTTCCTGAGATAATTATTTAAACATGCCACTTACCAGTCATATTCCGTTTTGCCCAGAATCTGACCACATTGTTGGTTGAGAACATGTTTGTACCATCTCAGTTATGTGTGTTGGTATGTAATTGCGTGTGTATGTATACACTTACACTAAGGGATGGTAATTGCCCGTCTCCATCTTGACGGCACTTTAGTTCATATCCGTAACCCATCCCTGATTGGTGTCTTTCTGGTTGGTCTCATTCCTTGTGTCCGTTATCCTGATTACCAGCCATGCCTCCGTTTGTCCTGCGCCGCCTCTTGCTTCTCTGGAGCCTGGCCCTTGCACCGCCCTCTGCTTGCCTCTTGTGCAGACTCCTGTTTTACAGCACTCCTGGAGAGGGTCTTCTGGTGAAGCTCAGGGCTGCGGAGACCGTGGGCTGTGGGTTTGGTGTCAGAAGTATAGCATTTCAAACAGAACTTGGCAATTTAGGAGAAACTGAAAAACGTGCTTTGAAGACGTTTTAAGAGAAATTGCAGGCATTCTGTGACTTGAGAAACACGTTGCCTCATGGAATGCAGTTTACCCTTTCACTTTACTCTGTCTTTCCCACCTCGATCCTTGGTTTTAAAATACGTGGCGTCGCCCTCCGATTGTGAGAACACTGCAAAGCAAAGGGCCGTGCATTTTTAGCTGATTACTTAATGGCACTTTGGCTTATGATAGTAAAGGGATACGTCATTCCCAGTCAGTGTTTGAATTCTCCTTAATTAGACTAAGTGCTCTGTGAACAGAATGTTTTCCTTCTCTGCTTTTTGTTTCCTGAGTCATAAAAGGCTTTCCCGTTGCCTTTGTTCCTCACTTAATCTTCAATCTAGAAAATACCTAGTTTATTAGAGCTCCGGACTTTGGTGCTTACTGGAGAGATAGCACAGGCTTTTCTTAAGCCGTCATGTGAGCCTAGAGTAATAAACTGAAAGAGCAGTTAAGTAAGTTGTAGAGTAGTTGAAACCTTATTTCACAATCTGTTTGAAGCTTGTCTATTCAAATATAGGTACTTTTTCGGTGTACTTCTGCCAAGTTACTCATAGATGGCGCTATTGCTGTGTACAGCCCACGCATACATCCCACTGGAGCATGATCTTTCAAATTTTGCAGCATTTTCTTAGGACTTTTCAAACTCTAAGAAAACTAAATCCCCCCCACCTTGATATTTGTTTAAAATATTTAAACATTTAAAATAAAATGTTTAAACATTTAAAATATGGACTTCATTTTTAGTTGAAATTATTTATTGTGGGATCACTTTAAAAATTATCCTTACATAATAACAGGTATGGAATAATTCTGTTTCTTTAAAAAATGAAAGGATGTGTAGTTACACAGCATTGACTCGTGTGGATTATATCTGAAAAAAGGCATGAGGAGAGGAAACAGCTTGTCTCTAAGGAGCAGATTGTATACATTTGGAAGGGAGCGGCGAGGATTGTTAGACACTGTTTGAAGTTTTATAAGACACACATGGGACATTTCTCACAACAGCAAAAGATACATGCTCACAAATGCTAACGCTTTGTGCCCTTGCCATGTACATACTTTCTGCTTTGCTTGCTTGCTTATTTTCTTTTTTAATACTTGTGTGTCTTTTTGGCAAGTGAAATGCACTTGATATTAAAACTAACAAAAAAGCCTTCTCTTTGAGTGTGTATACCATAGCCCCATATGCACAGCCTCGTAGAAGCTCACATAAAAACGCTTAGGGAAACCAGCACGGTGATCCTGGCAGCACTGCCTTGGAATGGTATTTGGGTTGTTGGGTTATTGTTGGCTGTCCAGCTGATTGGGGTTTACTGCTGACCCTCAGGATGTGCCTTTACCTGCTGGCTCCTTGTATTTGACCTGCTGCAGGTTTTCAATCCCTGTGGTCGCTTTGAAGAATCACCTGTTGGCCACATGGGCCTCGGACTCAGTCGACTTGTTCTGTTGGCGGCCAGCAGGCCTCGGGTCTGTGTAGCGGGCCTGGATTCTTCCTCTCAGAGTCTGGCTGAGCCCAGATACAGTAAAGGATTTGCATTTGAGTCACTAAAGACAAGGAGCACGACTGCCTCTGTGGCTCGTTAGTGGGAAGTGGCTTTTAAAAGAACTCCTTTCCCTGTTTGAGCCCCTCAGAAAGAAGACTTTATTTTAGTGTTTCTTTTCTAAAACTTAAAAAATGCTTTTCGTTTTCACATATAGTGTTTATAGCCAGACTAAATTCAATTGAAAATAAGCTAGTTTTAACAAAGTATTGCTGTTCTGGCATCCAGCAGAATACAGTGGTGAAACAGGGAGACTTGTGTTTACTGGACCAAGAGGGGCAGAGGATTAGACTTTGGGAACTGCAGCACAGCAGACAGTCACTGCGGTGTCTCCCTCGGGTCCTCCGTCCCGTGTCGCTGGATCATCTTCTTCCGGAGTCTTCAGTGACTGCGGTTTGCAGAGCAGAGCAGCAGGCCGCTGGGCGTGACCGTAGAGGGCCTAGGCCACTCAACTGCTCGCGTCTTCAAAGTCCATTAACTTTGCAGCTTTCTAATGAGTGTATACTACGTGTATACAAGACCCAAAAAGCCAAGCCCGTTGCTGTCGAGTGACTTCTGACTCCTAGAGACCCTATAGGACTGAGTGGAACTGCCCCATGGGGTTTGCAAGGAGCAGCTGGTGCATTGGAACTGCTGACTTCGATTAGCAGCCGTAGCTCTTAACCACTGCGCCACCAGGGCTCCGTCGTGCATATCGCACTGACAGATGCCGTTTAGCGATTGACTTTTAGTCCTGCGATTCCTGTGTTGAAAGCATACTTTGGCTCTTTTTTATGTTTTCAAAATTGAGAGTTTTAAAAGACTCTACCTCAGGTTCTGAAACTCGAAAGAGCAACTCCAGGTCTGCCTGATGGGCTTCGGGGTGAATGTGTGCTCTGAGGTGACTTGGGGGAGGCGAGCAGTGTTCATTTGAATGGGTGGATTTTGTATATGGATGTTAAATAAAGTCGGCCCTCCAGGGGATTTGGTTGTTGATGGTTTGCTGTAATCCATACGTGTCTTGTTATTTCCAGAGTTCAGAATAAATTGAAGGTGCTGAATTACACAACCATTCCTGTTTATCTCCCAGAAGTCACGATCGGAGCCCACCAGAGCGACCGCGTCTTCCACAGATTCAGAGAGGTAAGGGGTGTGGCGTGTAGAGAGCCAGCTAGCCACTGGTGTGGGCCCGCTGGCCACGGGGAAGGCACCTCCCTGCCTCTGTGGTTGTTGTATGAGTAAGTGGGAACTTCGTTGACTGCAGCCGTTTCCCCTTTCATCACTGATAAAGCAGGCGCATCCTCTACCCACGTGTGCGCCGGGCCGTTCCCGCCAAGCAGACCCTCTTGTGTGGAAAGCATTCTGTTCCTTGGCTTTTATCTCAATTTCTTGGTGTCAAGTTTTACCTTTGGTGTTGCCTTACTTTTCACGGTCCGTCCATGAGTAACAAACGCTTGTGTTTCTGCAGAAGGCCCCAGAATGCGTGGGAGCGTGGTGGGGAGAGCGAGCAGAGGGGTGGGCAGTGCAGGCAGCCGGAGGGGAGGCCGAGCAGAGGGGTGGGCAGTGTGGGCAGCCATGGGGGAGGCTGAGCAGAGGGGCGGGCAGTGTGGGCAGCCAGGGGGAAGGCCGAGCAGAG